CACACACACACACACACACACACACACACACACACACACACACACACACACACACAAATGTACAGTGTCAGTTCTGATTACTCAGCTCTCATCTCCGGTCTCCAGTAATTTTTTCTGCTTTTGAAGTAGCATTTTACCCCACTTGAGGATGACTCGAGTTTCCTCGACTAAGTGGGCAAACCAGAGGATGAGTAGGGCTTTTAAGTGTGCTTTGGTGGCCCAAACATGGACCTGCATTCCTCTGTTTCCTGTCATTCAGCCATTCTCACAGGACTCCCCATCTCCCCTCAGTCATCCTGTTCACTTATAGTAGCACTGCACATTCTAGTTTCAGCTTCAAACTGTTGCTTTTAGACTTTTCCAGCAGAATTACATTGTATTTTGTCTTAATTAAAGCACTGGCATATCACACACCTTTCCATATACAGTCTGTTTTTATGAGCGTTCAGTCTCAACATGATTGTTACTGTAGACCCAGATCCGGCTGATGACTCAAAGTGTAGGAGCGGCTTCATATCAGAGACATTCTTGAAGTCGCTCACATCAGGATGGGAGTAAGAAGGGAACTGGCCACCGAACAGAGAAAGCACTGTAGGCGAGGGAATGTGAAAATAGAAGCATATTTATTTGTCAGTCAAAGTTAAGGACAGCTTCTTAATGGATGTGATTGAATCTGTCTTCAGATAACTGGAAAATGTGGAAAATAATGTGCACACTTGTGTGTGAGCTTTGTGAGTCTGCCAAGGTCTGTGGAAACTTAAACCTTTAATACAGTAGATGTGTGTGTCTTTCCTGCCTCGTTCAGGACAATGAAGGGCTGTAATGATACTCCAGCAGATCAGGTAACCTATCAGAGACCTTCCTGCATATTTAACAACCCGGGAACAAAAGAGCAGCCCAAAATTGTGTTGCCAAAGGAGTTTGACGTGGTTTTGGTCTTCTGCAGAAAGATTATTTTAAATATGATAATTATTACTTTTGGAAGTGAGGGTAAAATACACTTTTTTGAGAAATACGAGACTGTTTAAAATAAATGCAGTTAGGAATCAAACTGTGTGATGCACTCACAGTGGCTGCAATATCAGTATCGACGTCCATTTGTCCACCTATTCAGCCCCAAGGGGTTTTCTTGAAGTTTGTGCTTGACATAATGTGCCAAAATGTAATTGAGTATGTCTCAGCATTTACAAACTCTACTTAAATAATCTTGAAATCAAAATAAAGCTAATACTTGGAAGATTTTATCAGAAGTGTATGTATTTAAGCAGCTGCTGTTGTTTCAGAGATAATAGTGAGCACTGACAGAAAGAAAGTCTGATTAATTTTCAGATTAGACAATAGATAACCCTTTTCAAAATATAGTGAATAATGCTAAAAACTCTTAAACCATAATTCACATGTGTACATTACCYGTGAAGAGATTTGTGTTGCTAAAATAATCTAGATCAAAGTTACAGGTTTTAGTAAAAAAAAGAAACAGTTATTTTTTTCATTTGGCACAGAATGTACCATTTTGGTACCATAATTAAATGTTAAAACACCTTGGGTGTTTAATTGCAAAAAATATATATTTTCCCTAAATGCCTGAAAATACTTGTTTTTGAATGGTTTTTTTAACTACCCATACATTTATTTTCACCCTATTCATATAAAATAATGAGAAATTATTATATGTGACTCCAAATGAAACATATTATTCAAAATCAAGTTAAAAAAAAACATCCAAAACACTTTACAGCATATTTTGGTATTTGCTTTGACTTGCATTTCTAAAAAGAAAAAAAGTCTAAAAATATTTTCTTTTAATTTGCTCTAATGTATTTACAGATTCACATTGACACCATTTTGTAATTTGTTTACTTACTGATTCACCTGCTTGTGGTTTTAACTGGGTTTGAGGGATGCAGAAATGTGAGTTTTTAGTCAAGATTTTCATGTGTTTGTAGATACCAAACATGTTTATGTGTAAATGACAGATCATAGATTAACAGAATTTGAACAGAATAAAAAATAGGAAGTGCAGTTCTGCCCCCGATTCCGGGGGCTCAAGAGGTAAAAAAATTCCAATTAATGCAATGCAATTTGGACGCAAATGTTGTACAATTAATTAAAGCTCACTAGTTATTTTTTTTACCACTGATTCTGTCAGCATTCTGGATTCAAAACTTCCTACAACTGACAGGTTTCATCCTGTTTTACAAGAAAATAAGAAAATAAAATAATTGAGGCTTAAA